GTGCACCAAGTAGCCAATAGACAACCTCATCTTGTTAATACTAATACCAGATAAATGAAGTGCTCACTTGCAAAAGACTGACAAATTAATAATATAAACATTATGGCCCTAACTGCAAATTTTGAGGCACTTTTTAAAAGTAGGAGAGCGAGTGGCAGTCCTTCCAAAGAGCCATGCTGGCATTGGTGAAAAGGCAATCCCTAGTGAGACAGCAAAAGGCATTGGGGCGCGGCGGGGGGGGGGTATGTGCTACTCTTGCCAAGTGGTTCTGGTGTTCACCACAGCACGTCTTGGTAAAATTGGCCTCTCTGATTTGGAAGAAACAAGAACCTGCTGTAGGCAAGAACAACCCTTACAACAAGCCATGGGTTCTTTGCATGGCTTGTTCCTGAAAAATAAGCCACCCCATGGAAAATGTTCCAGGTTTGAAGGACAAAACAACCCACCATATCTGGCTCCTATGGTGGGTTGCCATGCCGTGCAAATCCAATCAGCAAACGGAATCATGTGCAAAACTTTGTGTGAATTGCAGCTGCACGCACCAATCTGAATTGGCTTTCACCCTTGGGACAGACTGCATCTCCAAAATTCTGGGAGTACAGGCAGCCTCTACAGACTTGTCATTCCAGAGGTATTTTCTGTGATCCTGCTGATAGAGTATGGTAGGGGTTACAGAATTATTAACCTGGGTTTACATTTGACCTGGAAAAAGTGTGTTCTGGCCCCTCAACTGCCAGCAGAGAAGCAAAGGCGAAAATGTTGGGAGCAGTGGCTGCATCACTGGAATTTGTCACTGGAAAGGTGTAGGAGTGGAGTGGAGGTGGTTGGTCCATCCGTCCATCTGCCTGCCTGCCTGCCTGCCCTACAGGAAAAAGTCGCTGGAAACCCTTCTGTTGCAAAGGTCACTTTCCATGAGAAAACTGTGTTACATGCCAAGGACTACTCACATCTGCAGATTGACAAAATCCCTAATGGTTAAAAATGCCATATAAAAAATAAATATAATTATGATCTTTGTGTGAAGGGAAAATTCATACACACAGCCAGTATGAATAGCATCTCCCACATACTGTAGAAACTGTCTTCCTCCCCAAAACACCAGGTTGCACCATTATCACTTGCACAAAACGTCTCCATGCCAATGACAGCTGTTATTGGGAATATGCAGAGCAGGCATAGAGATTTTCAACCTGACCTAAGAAGATTTTAGACATCGCATACCCCTGTGGAACACTGCCCCATGGAAGCAGCTCTCTGGACTTCATTGCTGATGGGAACACTGCTGGTGAAAGATCTCCATGGGTGCAGAAGGATCCTCTGGGGAGGACATGCTGCCCCACAAGAGCATCTCCTCTCCACCAATGAAGGGACATTCTACCTGATCCTAACCCTCCTCAGCTCGTCTCCGCTGGAGGTTAGGACTGCTCTGTAAGCCATATTACAGCAATGGAAAACAGGACAATGCCAGAAGTTATGAGAACAATTCTTCACAGATTTTATTAATATCTCAGCAAGCAACACAGGTGGACTGAAAAAGATTACTGCAGAATGGTGTGTGTGTGTGTGTGTGTGTGTGAAAGAAATGCCTTAATTTACTGTATTGCACATATACATGCTGCATATAAAGCCTGGTTCACACACCTCCAACTGCAAGTGGTGGCTCACCTAATTAAATGTTCTTCCATACATGCACACATACACATGGACGCCTAGCCTTCTCCTTCTTATGCTAGTTTCCAGCAGTGCTCGGGTGAGATTCTTTCTCCTGACATCTGCTTTAATATATGGGGAGGGTATCTTACATGGAGGAACATTCAACCAGACAAGCCTCAGCTCAAAAACCCAGACACAGGTTTACTAGCTCAGTGAGAACCAGACCTAGGTCACCAACATTTATTGAGCAAAATGCCCATTCATGATTGCACTGTAAAGTATAAAGTAGCATTTATTAAAAATGCTACTTTAGCTTAATTTGATGTGATTTCTGTATGCTTATCTGTTTGCAGTTCAACCCTAGAAGCATGCTAATTACCAGAAAGTGATCCCGTTTGTTCCCAAAGAGCCATGCTGAGGTGGCCTGACGATCTGAGCCGATGGAGCACATGTGCTTGGAGGATTTCCTTGATGAGAGTACAGTCCCTGATTCATCACAGCTCACTTAGCTGCCTGTGTATAACGGCTGTGATCCTCCTCCTGGATTCATCTAAAGAAGATGCTCTTCTGCTCTGAAGCTGAAGTGCAGGCAGAGCAGGCAAACTCACATTGAGGCTGCCTTTGTACCTGCTGCTGCCTGGTTTTTTAGTGGCTCTCGAAATTCCACAGGGTCCTGAGAATGTTGCTCTTTTCCCACAGTTTGGGCTTATCTGCCCATGACTGCTGACCAATGCGGTGGAGGAAGTTAGGCTGCCCTGACTGAGAGAACACTGTGACAAAGGGAAGTTTCCTCCGAGTTTCTTTAGATTCATGACTTGTTCTCTGGCTTGAGCCAATGCTTCAGTGAGCTCATAACGTTCCTCACACTCCCTGCGCACTGTGTCCTGGAGGAGAGCATTCTGCAAGCATAAAGAAACATATATTGCATAAGACATTGTCAAGGTGATCAAAAAATGAAAGAAAGGAATACTGGGTGCTTTCTTAGCTTCTCAAAATGCAGGCTACTCAAGGAACAGAGAACATAGACAACACGTTATGTGCTTGGAAGGCTTGCAGTGATGCCACAAATAAACAACGTATCCGTTTTAATAAAATGCTGTTCTGCAGTTTTGGGTGTGGTGAAAAAATAACTGGCTGGGAGCCAAGGAGGTACTGTAGATGCACTAGAAAGAGCTTTAAAATTATTTATTTTCCTTTGAGCAGCAGAGTGCCATACCACATTGCAAACTGGTTTTGAGCCTTATCTCAGCATCAAAAGAGATTTTTGCTATGTGCTGGTACAATGTTCACTCAGTTCTTCGGACACAGACAGAAACTGTTCCCTAAGTGAATAATTTGTGCTTCGTGGAGAAATACATCCCCTTGCCTGTTCTGGACCTCCTGCAAGTCAAGTCACACCAGAGACACAATTATTTTGTCTTTCTATGCAGGCTCCCCCAACCTGATGCCCTCCAGATGTGTCACACTTCAAGTCCCATCATCCCCACTGGCTATCTGAGACTTAGTCCAACAAATCTGGAAGGTACCAGAATGAGGAGGAGCTCATACCATCCATAATTCTACAAATGAATTTATAATATTTCACCTGGGTTGTCTTTTTAATTTTCAGCCAGTTTTCCTCAACAGAGTTGCAAAGTTCAATGAGAAACAGATTATAATGCTAGGATAAAACGTTTATTGCAATGCCAAATATTCAGGCTGCATTTTAGTTAATAAATGGAGCAAACCCCTTTACCTGAGTCATAGTGCACAATGCAAAAGAACCATCTTGTGTGAGCCCCACTGAAATGAATGTGAGCAAGCGCATAGCACTCTGACTGATTCACTGACAAGTGCTTGTCAAAAGGATGTTATTCACTGTCCAGAAATGTTTTTAGTGCTGTTGCTTGCCTGAAGCCCTTGAAATGGGCAAACCAAAAATTTAAATAAAATAAATGATCCCCTGTCATTGTAGAAATACTAATTGGTCATGAAGGTTAGAGGCTCACAGAGGGCAGAGCTCTGGAGCAGAGGTTCAGAAAAAGCAGGACACCTCGCTGCTCTAAGGAAGCAATTTTATGCAAGTTCCAACAAGAAAGCCCTTGCTAGCTGGGGAATGCTTGGAATTAAAGGAGCTGTTTTCCTGTTTAAATATGCATAGGATTGTGCCCTAAGACCATTAAATCCAGAGCAGTCTCCCCCTCCAATAAGTGTATGAAGTCCAAAGTCTAAAATTATCTGAGTCCACCACTGATGAAGGCCTGGGAAAGCGTTAGATGACTGCATTTAAACAGAATAATTAAACAAACAAAACATAGCTGAGGACAATGTGAAGGATCTAAATTATGAGCTCCGTCATTATAAGAATTGATATGATTAGTAGTAAATCTGAAATGAGACCTCATTAAAAGGGAAATTGCTTCAATTCAAACTTTGTAAAAATGAAAGCAAATGAGGCAATCACAGATTTGAAGCCTGCAAGATTGAATAAAAACATCATCAACCAAAAGTGGGTTAGCCCCTAATGAAAGAAAACAGAGGACAATCAAGAAAGTTTGGAGTAGGATCAGAAATAGAACAATTCCAGTTCAGCTTTCCCTAGCCTAGTGCTCTTAGTGATGTTCACTGGGGATGATGGAAGTCCAATACATCTGGAGGGTACCAGATTGAAGAAACCTGCTTTAGTTGCAGATGGTTCTAATTTTCAATCTTTCAGCAAGAGGGGCAAGGATTGTGGGTCACATTACCAGAGTCACTCATCTGTTGAGTTACAGAATTTTACAGTGAGCTAAAAGCTAAGGATGCATAAGAATTTCCTCTGGGTTGTGAAAACTCAGTGATTTTTTCTGATTCAGCCTGAGCATATTGTACCATTCTATTTCCCACCAGCTGATATTGACTTGATTTGTAGAGCAGAGCCAGTATGCAGATTCCACCTTTTTTAATGTATTGGTAATATGCACAATTTGGAGGGAGGGGAGTTTTAAATTCTGCACAAATGGTATCACAATTTTTAAAATAATAACATTTTATTGGTGAGCTTGTGGAAGTCCATGTGACTGCAAGTCCACCAGTCAGTCAGGTAGCCCCTAGAGGCATTTCCTCTCTTATAAATGTCCTTGCCAGTTTCATCCTTACCACAAACCACTACAGTTAAGTCCAGTACAGCCTATTCCACACTTATCAAAGGACTTGTCAATTCTTCCCCACCCACAGCCCTTCACTTGGAAAATGCAACTGGAGGATGAAATGGATAATTTCTTTGACAAATAGGGCATGTGGCTCTGCTGGGCTAAGCTAAGGAGTGGGTGGAGAAGATGAAACTGACAGGATATTTCCAAGAGTGTAAAATGCCACTGTGGAGCTACATAGCGAATAGGTAGACTTGCAATCATTTATACTTGTGCAAGATTGCCAATAAAAATGAAATTATCCACATTGGAAGATCCCCAGCTCAAAAGGTAGAATCTGCACTAATGGCACAACCTGAAAAAAACTTGCGTCTTTTTTTACAGAATTGGAAAAAAAAAATATCCAGTACAAGCCACCACCGCTCACTAGAACAGAAGCACTAAGAAACCCCATCAGGGTTAAATGGAATGGAACATCTCTATTAGTCATATTTGGCCACTAAATATGTATCTGGCCTCACCTGAATATTGAAGAGAAAGTGTTATTAAAACAAGATATGATCTCAGGTAAGGCCATGCTTTCTAGAACCTATCAGCTTAACGACAAATAAAAGGCAGTATTTGCTTCTTACACATTTTCATCATTTTATCTGGTCAAAAATGGAAAAGAAATGATCTTCAGGCTTGGCTTTCCTTCTCCTAGGACAGTGGTGGCCCTGTCTGTCAGCACGCGAGCCAAGTCACTCCAACATTGCCCTAGCAGCCGAGCATTGGATAAGAGCATACATTGGGGCCATGCGCATGCTCGGAAAGGAGTAGTGGCGCCAGGCAATGACATCACAAGCCACAACTTGTCCAAGCTTCCGCGTGGCCGATCAGTGTGCTGCCAAGGATATATATATATTTGCTTGGACTGCCTGTGAGATGTTTTTTCTAAACTAAAACATCGGTTTTCAGGTTTTATTATAGTGTTGGCACTTGGGGATAAATAAGTGGGTTTTGGGTTGCAGTTTGGGCACTCGGTCTCTAAAAGGTTTGGCATCACTGTCCTAGGACATTCACTTTTCTTCTCCATTTTCCTCCTTAAAAAACAAATTCCGATCCTAAAAATGTGCTCCCTCACCCTGTTCTTTTGTCATATTTTCTTTGTCTGACGTCTCCATACTTTATTTGCACAATGCATTTGGATAATAATCTGTTCAATTCACAGCTTAATATTTAACAGCTCTTTCTCTCTCTTATTTTGCTATTCTCTCCCTTCTATGTTGCACCCACTGTATTTTAAGCCAATATGTAAGGCCTTGTTCAGACTTTAATTATTTTGCAGTGTTCTGAAGATTTTACATGCTTTATAGATTTTTATAAATCTATATTTTATGAGCAGTATGTGTCTGTGTGTGTGTGTGTGTGTGTGTGTGTGAGGGAGGGAGGGAGGATATACTTTAGGCATCTGATGAAGTGAATATATGCATTAATTAGGCTTTCAGATACTACAGAAATCTTTGTTGTTTTTTGCTGCAGCAGGCTAAAACAGCTACTTCTCTGGGTAATGACAGTATAAACCTTCATGAAAGGCAAATGTAAACTCCCATTAGAAGGAATAAGATGATAACATTTTGCAAGGAGCCTTAGGATTAATCTCTCTAAATTTCTGGATGATCTCAGTCAGTGGTTCCAGATAGACATTAAGCAAAATGGGGAATAAGGTGGAATCCTGCAGAAATTCCTCAGTACCACCTTCTGGAAATGGCCTTGAGCTATAAAGCTGCACTGCTCACAACTGGCTCAGATCATCTCTCCAGAAGTAAACCGTGGCTTATGGCATGAAAATCTGCTTAAGGATGCAGGAGAAACAACAGTGTTGTACCTGCACTCCCGTTTTGCCCCTGGGGAAGGTCAAGATCACAGGGCCACCCAGGTAGTTTCAGTGCCAGAAACACTGAAATCTATTTCATCCAAGGATGACTGGATCTGATCAGCCACACCTGCTTGAAGACTTCCTCTGGAAGAGGATGTTGCTCACTTGCCTATGAACAGATTCTCAAGTTCAATTATGCTTTCTTTCAGTAGTGGTCTCCTTGTTGCCTGAGAATGGGGACACTCCTTCCTGTAAGGAGGAATTTATAAAATTTGGACACAGCTGGTTATTCTCTCCCTACTACATATAATAAGCCATCAAGGCAAGGCTCAAACAAACCAATGGTTGGTTGAACTTTACCAGGCACCTTTTCTGCATTCTCAGGCCCTACGAATTAATGCTACCCAGTGATATCAGAGTTGGTGTGCGCTGGTGGGATCCTGTGGGCAGCTGGTTTAACAATGTGTCACTGGAGTGCTGGACTAGATGAACCACTGTTCTGATCTAGCATGGCTCCGATGTTCTTAATCGCCAAACTGTGTCCTAAACATCTCCACAGATTGCCTGAATGGCAGAAATAAAGTTTTGAAGGACACATGTGATTTTGTTTTCAAAACTTTTCTCAAACATACAGTGTGCTATCGAATGTTCTTTAGAACTCCCATCAGGCCAGAACCCAAAAGTCCTTAAGCTACTCCAAAAAACTCTGTTGGTTGACACTGAGAGGATACAATGGCACAGGAGAAAAATTGCTTGACTCCATCACCATCACAAAGAAGGTTCAATAAAGAGCTCTTACTCATGCATAACCAGACTTGAGATGAGCTTTCTTCTACCTGCATTCCAGTCATCTCCCCGTCTGCTTCATTGCCCTCTGCTCAGATTTATACCAAAGTGCTAAGCAGGCTCTGCAAAGCAGGAGAAGACACTAAATAGCAAGCAGATCAACTGCTCAGTCATCTTCCTGTGTTACAGAGTGACCAAGGCTTTGACAGGAACATCCATTATACCAACTAGAAAATCCCCCAATACTCTCTGAAATCCATTGAAATCCATTATCCTACTTGAGTGGACTATCCTAGCACGTCTCACATCCTTGCAGAGAGGAACAGTTACTGCAAGCCTTGCCACCCTCTAATTCAGCAGAAAATGGTCTGGCCAGGACAAAGGAACAGAAATACCCACCACCACCTTCCTGTCTAGTAGAGAAACCCTAATCTAAAGCATGACTAGCTACATATGTTGAGCCACTAACATATTGGAACAGCCTCTTCACCGTTTCCACACTGCCCAGGAAATCCTGAGCTGCTCCAAACATGGCAGCCCTGGCACCAGTACTGAGGTTCCCCAAGAGCCACTATTCTGGAAGCACCAAATCTGAGAGGGCCTCTTAGCGCAGGCAGGATCAGGAAGCAGTGTGGGCACTAAACCAACAGAGTCTCTAATTTGTCCCATGCTCTCAGCACAAGATACAGGCAATCCAGATTGTCCGTTAAATGCACATGAAGCTTAGAGGGATGGAATTGCTATGGATAATAGCAACTCCCTTCTCTTGGCCACGTAATTTATTCTGGTGCTGAACTGACCATCCAGGAGACTCCCTGAATCTTCCTGAACCAGGTCACAGCTATACATACTATATTGCAATATATATTGGCAATTAAATCATGGATAAAGGAACTTTTATTATTCACATACTTGGCATATTACAACTGTACCAGCAGATGAGATAGCAGTCCTGTCTTGGCCACTGCATTTCATCCCAGTAAGGGAAAAGGCAGAAGAGAAGACTGGCATAAGATGTCCACTAGCTCTTCTTCTCACCTGGCCTGCCACTTACCTAATGCCATACTTTCCTTTATCCATAAGTATCCTGGCAAGAGTTCTCTCATCTCTCCCCAGGTGATCTTCAAAAGTATATGAAGTACACTTGATCTTAGAAAGCTACTGTATGATACAAATCAAAGCACAGAGGGGAAAAACAGCATGTGTTCGCCCTGACCACAAATCAAAAGCTATAGGGAAGCACAGGAGAGAGAATTAACAGATCTTATCCTGGCGTTCCACCCTTCCTGCTGCCACAGTGACTTTTCCACACTCCTGCTGCTACTTTAAGAAGCAATACAGCAAGATGCATTTTCTAATAAAACTTCAAGGACTATCATGCCTCCATAAAGGGCTCAAGATTAAGACTAGCTTCCTTTTTGCAGAAATAAATGGGGTAGTTGTTGCCCTTCTTCCAAAGTGCCTATCCCAAGGATCACGTGTAAGAGGACCAGTGTAGTGTCTGCTGGTTACAGTTGGACTGGGAACCTAGAAGATTCGGGTTCTACTCTCCATTTGGCCATGAAACTCACTGGATGAATTTGGGCCAGTAACTTACTCTCAGACCAAGTTGCCTTGGGTTCCTCCTAAGAGGAAAAAGGATGGGATATAAAATGCAATGTAACTGTGGTTGACCCCTGTGGAACTGGCCTGATGCCTGAGTAATGACTGGGTTGAATATCCCACCCACTAGGCCCAAGTGCTTCAGAAGTCACACTGAGCATGTGCATATGTGGAAACAGCTGTATGCACCTCTGTCTAGACTGTGAAATGTGGACTGCTCCTTTTTCCAGATCATCCTCTGCTGGACTGTGGCAATATCTAGTGAGCTAGGGCAGGTGGAAGAAATACTTCTCCCAGTTCTCTTGATGACTCAGCCAGGCTCAGGCATACTGTTCTACATGCATACTTCTAGGTAAACAGTCGAATGAGTAAAAATTGGAATTGAAGACCTCATGATCTCCTCTGCCATACATTCAACAAAATGGCTTGATGTGGTCTGTTAAATTAAGCACGGGTTCCCTCCACCCTTTTGTTGTGTCCTAGTTCAATAATAGCCAGTTTCTTAAAGGATAGTTTCCTGTGCCATCCAAAAACTGTCTTCAGTGGTCCCTATAAAGAAGATTATCAAATCATTATTTGATTTTGGTTCGATAAGTTTCCTGCTTCAAACATCTGGAGAAACTGTGGTTTAAGGAACCAGAAAGTAATGAATTAAGGTATGCAAGAAAGAGGAGGTTGTAGCATCTGGACATTCAGCTCATTCCATGTGGTTTGTTGGACTGGGACTGTTACATCCCAAACAGGGTAATCTATGTAAAGGGCTTAAAAGATAAAACATCAAAAAATAAGGCAAGTCTAAACTTTGGCTGAATTCATACCTCTTCTTGAACTTGATTCATATTCTGAATCAACTCTGTGTGCTCCTGAGTCAGTTTTTCCAGCTCATAAGACTTCTTTTTTATTTCTTCTCTCACTTCTTCTGTCACTGAAATGCAAGTGCTCTGTTTTTCCTTCAGCTGGACCTCCAGGTCTGCAAGTTTTTTTTTAAGGTCTTGGCATTCTTTTTCTCTGCCTTGGTTTTTCTCAGTAAGCTTGGTCTGTGCTTCATGGAGCTTCCTTTCTAGTGTGTCTATTTCCATCTTCAGGTTATTAGTAGCACTAGATATCAATACAGGCATCTGAAAGGCAAATATGACATTCATTAGTTCACAGGGCATATTGTCAGCAAGAGGTCCCTTGGTTAAGCAGAGTTATATTTGCTTTAGGAGAAAATGTGCAAGAGATAGAAAGATACGAAATCTTCACATTATAAATATGCAGCACTAACAGTGCTTTGCAATCATAGGAAATGAATGGTATTCTTTAAAAGTGGTTTACAGAAGTGGAATACAGAGGAAGGATGAAGATAAGCAAAATGAGAGACAGAGCCTTTGGCTATGGGGCAGCATACAAATGTGATAAATAAAATAAATAATAAACAATAATAGATGCACAAGATCAAGCTGGAATTAAAATAGTTAAATGAAGAATATTTATTATTATATTTAATTCATTTATTCTCTACCTTTCAATATAAAATTGTTTCAAAGCAGTTTGCAACACAAGAAAGAAAAACCAAAACTGAAGTCAGAGGATACCATCACAAAAACACCTTAAACAGTAACTAGGAGCCAGCATGGACATACTATTCACAGAAAGACTTGTGTGTGCGTGTGCGGGGGGGGCTGTTGAATTGAATTTTCCTGTAGAGGGGCCATTGTGGAGCTGTGGAGCCCCCACAAAAATGTCCCTCCTCTGATTTCAAGATCCAATCCAACCCGATCTTGACTAATGACAGGCCAGAGAACAGGGCCTCCAAAAGTGGTCCTGTTTCTCAAAGTCTGAGAATATGATTTCTGTTGTAATTCCTAGAGTGTTCAGGTCATAGAAGGTGCTGCGAGAGAATGCTTGTATTGTCATGATAAATCAATGTAGCGCATAAAACCTCCTGTAAACTTGGAGCATCTAGCTAAGGATGCAGCTGGCCTCTGCACCTCTGCGTGATCGCTGATCTGGCCTTGCCTCCTTCCTACCAACCTCACCTGGGAACAGGTAAGTTTTCTGCAGCTTTACACTGAAGTTTGTGTGTATGATTTGATCATCCAGTTTTCCTCTCGTAGAGTTGCAGAAAAAAATACCTCACCTCACCCCATTCAATGCTCCCACCACCACCACCAATCCACCACGGGAACGCCTCCAAGGGCAGGAGATTATTATTCCTGCATAATATAAGTAGAGGTGACATTAAAGTTTCTCACTTTTGGGTATGATTCTCTTCTTTACTAAAGAGCCATCCTTGTGGGGAGTGTGTATGTGATATGAATCAGGACCTCAGCAGAGGAAAAGCCCCCTCTGTTCATGCCATTATCCTGATCTGAATTGTGCACCCACAGATTCTATTTACTAGAGAAAAAGCAAGCACACACAAGCAAAGTCCTTTGTTAATGTCCTACCTTTAGTTG